AAATTTAAGATACTAAATGTTTAAATGTAAATGTATATATACTGTATATTAGTGCTGTCAAACGATTAAAATTTTTAATCAGATTAATAATGATGATGGATTAATCCGCGTTAACCCGTTAATTTTGACAGCCCTAATAAATAAAATACATGAATGTCTTGCTGTCGGGTGGCGAGGGGGCTCTGGAGCCTAGAAGCTGAGCAGCCCTAACACACTTTATTTTTATTTAGGTGACGAGTGCAGGGAGGGGCTGGGATGGCCCAGAATCAGGGTATACAGTCACACGCACCATGAAACTGACACCACCAGATCGCCGTTCTCACTGCCCCAAGTGCCCAGTAGATGCGTGTGCAGTTTAAAAATGCAGCCAGAATCACAGCAGAAAAGCGGATTTTATTTTTTTTGCTCTCCCGCATTTGCAGATAGCTTTAAGCTGACTGTGCCCATTTCACAGGACTGGAAGGAGGAGTGAAAGAGCTCAGCTACGAGCAGAAACAAACTTACTATCAGAACACATGCTGCACTAAGCAGATCCAGGGGTGGTACTTTGTCACCCAATCACACGACCAGCCAAACCTAAACCAACAAATCCCCGGGAGAGCGGACAATCTGAGTGCACGGATCAAATGAATCACTCCACAGCAGCTCAAGGAGTCGGCCCCTTGGATGACGGTCAGGAAGACATTTGTATTCGCGTGCATCCTTCCTCAGCCCTGCTAATATTCAAATCCAGCTGGATCTCGGTCCAGGAAATTCCAGCCCAGATAAAGTCAGACTGGAAAACAAGTCTGAACAAATCATACGAGATGATGAAAGCGATGTCAGTGAAAGGACGGCACAACCACAGGGGACGCCCACCTGGTCTCAGCAGACGTGCGATTAGGTGACTACCTAAGCCAGTTCTCTGGTGGCATGCCACAAAAACAGGTATAAATGATTGACAGTAAAACATCTCACGGATCATTTTTTTGTTTTATTGTTGTAAACTTATATTATTCTGCTCACACAAGGCAAAAAGACACACAAGATGCCAAATACATCAGTCCCTAAATATAGACACTTCTCAATTTCTGAATGCAGCACTGCGATCAATACAGTGTTTCTGTGCGCTGTGCCTTTAAGAGCAGTGACATCAAGCGAGAGAAAGTGAAGGTCACTGGTGAGGGTGAACAGGGAAGCTGAGCGGGCCACTGGCCGGTCCACCAAACAAGCAGCAGATCCAGGCGTAGCTCAGACGGCACTGATGATGAACATGGTGCCAGGAAGCAGGTAGACCCCTATCCTTCAGAAAGCCCTTGATCAGCGGGTGGGTGAATACTGTAAGTGCAGCTGATGGATTGTCCATAGCATAACAAGTTGGTATAAATAAAAGATAATGCATACTGGTAAAGCACCATGCCTCCAAGGCAAAGAAAGATCAGAGAGCATCTGTGCGGCTAGTAAAAGTGGGAGTCTGTCCAGCACGGGGAGAACGGAGAAGAGACACCTAATCAGACAGGCAGGAATGGTGTGCCATTCGTGTGAGAGACTTCAGGTTTCCAGACACCCCACCTTAATCTCCAGGAGAGTAACAGTTTTGGGGTCTTAGCTCAGAGCCTCCAGAGCCTCTGAGGCAGCTGGGGTTAAGGGCCCCGCAGTGATATGATTTCCTGCCTGCCAGCCACAAGATGAGATCCCATGGCCTTCCGTATACGGGAACAGCTTCCAAATTCGCTGAGTGACACCCCAGCCCTATTTCCGGCACCCTCATCCAGCCAATCCCATAACTGGCATCATGGTTTGCCATGAGAACCTTAGAAGTCTGTGTAATGAGCAAGCCAGAAGGAAAATGTATCTATTGATGACAACAGACCAGCTAAGCAGTGGAGGGCCAGCGACCACTAGGGGCTGAGCTAGCCCAAGCATGCCCCTGTCTGTCACTTTCTAAAGCAGAGGTACAGCTTTCTGGAAGCATGTCCAGAAGTTCACTACGGTTGAGTACATCCCGTGCGACGGAGAGCGTTTTAACACGTCAGCTAGTCTGAGGTTAACCATCACAAAGAGGAATACCAGCCAGTGCTATGGGCTCCTTTCAGGGTGCTTTTCCACTGCATTAGGTACCGTACTTTTGGTACTTTCCCATTTTCATTGACTTCCAGTCAAGTACCAGTACCAAAAGTTCCAGCACCCAAAATACCAAACCTGCTGGGGTACTTTTTTGGTACTTTGGGGTGGGACTTGCAAATGTGTTCATCTGTTGATTGGTTATGTAAATACACAAACACAGAACACAGAAACACAATACAACCTTTGTCTTGGAAAAGGTTACAAACTCAGAAAACAATAAATAAATAAATAAATAATAATAATAATAATAATAATAAATGCATGAACAAATGAAGAGACCCAAGCTTCAACTGCAGTCTGGTTGGAAGAACCAGAAGATGATCTGGGTGGCATGACACTAAATAAAATAAATTTGCTATGATATACTGGGCTTGCACGGAATTGGAAAAGAATATTGTGATGTAATTTTGTTTTAATAAATAGGAAGCTTATTTTAAGAAGAGAAATTTCTCATGGTGGGAGTAATTTAATCAGGAAGGATGAAAATGATCATGAATGGCTCAGAAAGCACAGACAGAGCTCATGCAAAAGCAGCGGAGGTAAACTAATTTTTTCAACCAATAATAAAAAATCTTGAAAAGGAACAATCATTAAAATTACAATGCCTGTTAAGTTTTGCACCCTATGACAAAGTAAAAATGTTTGAGTGAAACTTGAATTTCCCTGAGCTATAATGTCTGGACAATATGATTTCGACACAGCTGACTATCGCAGTCCTTGCGATGTGAGAATTACATGTGCATCACATATGATGAAAGCATTAATACTGCACATCGCCCAGCCCTATAATATACTACAGCCATTATTGTAATTCAGTACAAAAGACCCTGCCTTGCATTGAGATGTCATTCAGCAATGGTACCAGTTTTTACGCCAGTGGAAAACCAACACTTTGAAGTACTGTACTCTTGGTACTTTTCTGAAGTACCAAAAGTGCAGTACCTGGTGCAGTGGAAAAGCGCCCTCAGACTGGTACTGCCGTTAGGCACTCATCACAGCCCGGCCAGACTGCATTTTTATCACTGAAGCACAACCACACGCTAAGGTCTGGCACTCTAGCAGGACCAGAGAGGCGGCCTTGAGGTTCAGACAAAAAAAAAAACAGGGAAAAAAAGAAGAATCTTGTTTTCAGTTCCACCCACAGCCAGAAATGACTGTGGGAAAGTAATGAATGCGGCTGGGCTGCGTGACACCCTCCGGCCAAAAGCACAGTGCTGCAAGGCCCTCAGCAAATCTTCCGAGCAGTGGAACAGGTGCACAGTGAAAACCACAGATATATTTCCACTACTCCCGAGAAAAAAAATTACACAAGAGACATCCTCAAAATTTACTGAAGAGCAACACATTTTCAGCACATAAACTAAATATTTCCAAAAGCTGGCCATGCACTCTGACATATGATGTATGCTCAGTAAACACTCGCTACCACAAGATGGTACCTGTCAACCCGTGCCCCCATGTTTATGCATGTTACACGGCGGCGGCTGTCAGGAGAAACCAGGTGTTCTGCATGCTCCGGACCCAGACGGCCATTTCACCACCGCGGTACGGATACACCGGATGCTCGGGAAGCCTGACAAACGAGGGCAGCCCAGCCACCTGGAAACAAGCTCTCGGCCTCCGGAGAACAGCATCACAGACAAGCGATGGACTGGCACAGGGAACACGTGCAAATGTATGCATGCATCACAAGACTCGCCAGCTTCTCGTCCCAAATAACCAAAGTGAGGACACACCGGATACGCCAAATCATCAACATCAATACACAAAGTCACTGTCACAGGTATTTATTACCAGATATTTTTCTTTTCTCTGTGCTTCCGAAACACCTGCAGCACCCAAAGCAAGTGAACCGCTGAGCAGCACCTAAAAAGTAAACCTCCTGCACATGCAGTATGATCTATACAGCCATTACACTTAAGGGTCTCCTTCAGTCCTTTTTGGTAATTTCATGCAATCATGTGTCCTGAACTTATACACCTGGCACCTAAAACCAAAAGAAACGGCCCCCACTTACCTGATGAAGGGAGGAACAAAAGCAAGGCCGCTGGAGAAGGACCCGCTGCCCCTGGGGATCCCAGCCAGGTCCCCGTACACCTGGCAGGTGCCACCCGGCGTTTCCACGGAGGAGGGCAGAGGCCGAGCCACGAAGATGGGCTTCTGGTCAAGCTGGCGGACCGCCGACGAAGCAGAGGCGCTGACGCCGTACTGGTAGCCCTGGCCACCGGAGGTGCTCACGCCACAGATGGAGATCGGCGAGGTGCTCAGGCTACAGTAGGTCTTGGGCTCCATCTCCTGCTTAATCACGCCGGGGGTGCACAGCTGGATGCAGGCATCCTTCTCCATCTTAATCTCTGAGGGGGGGACGCTGGCCTCCGGCGCCCGTTGGTCATCCCCCCCGCCGTTGCTGCAGCCGACGGGCTTTGCGTCCTTCACCGCTGTGCTGAAGTCGGCCAGGAGCGAGTCGTCCACCGCCAGCGTCGAGAGGAAGGCAGCCTCATCGCCCACGTAGAAATCGTTCAGCTCGCAGGGGGAGCCCGTCAGTTCGAAGTCCGGCAGGATGTCGAGGGCGCTGGCGGACGAGAATCCCAAGCCCTTCAGGGTGTCCTTCCCAACCACCTCAAAAGGCTCCTGCTCCAAGTCGGGGGGTGACAGATCCTCCGTTTTCAAGAAGAGGTCCGTGTCGGTCCCGCCGATGAGGGAGTCCATGGAGGTGCTGGTGCGGCCCAGGTCAGCGATGCTCGCCTCCAGGCGAGTTAAGTTATCCTCCAGGCCTAACATGCTTGTGTTCTGGAAGTGCAGGATGGCTGCCTTCTGGTCAATCCCTAGCACCATGGAGTCAGGCCCCACTGCATAAAAGCCCAGGGAGGGCGAGGTGTGCTCCTCTGTGGGAGGGGCGCCGCCCAGCCCGTTGGATACCTCCCCGGAGCTCGACTGCTTTCTGGGAGCGGATGGCACAGACATGCCGCTGCCGGGCATGCTGGGAAACGTCCCTTCTGCCTCCTTGTCACTGTAATCCAAAGTCAGGCCGTCATCCTGCACGTCGCTGCCTTTCAGTCCCACTTGATCCATGTGTCGTTCCTGTCGGACACCGGAGGGTAAAATAAAAATAACCGGATTAAAAAGCAGTAAAACCCACACCTGCTGGGCACATCACAGCGCCCCTCTGCTGCTCACAAACACCACCTAAAGGGAATGAAGAAAAGTCTGCCGACCTGCCATGGAAGCGAGCCGGACGTCCTGTCTAGCTCAGAGCTACACGCCCCGATCGGGCACCGCAAACCGGGAAAGACTCCCCAAAAGCAGCCAGACTGCTGACAGTTCGCCCCATTACTGCGACGCGCACCAGCCCTTCACCGAGCGACAGGCCTGCCAGTGTTAATTTCAGCTGCCTTTTTGATATGCGTGGGACAGCTGGCTGGTTGATAGGTTATTTTAGTTACTCAAACACCCTGCTAGGAGTTGGCAAGAAAGGCAACTGTCCGTCCGGATCAAATGCTTCATTAAAAAATTACCGTGTGCGAGGCGCTAATGGCAAGGCCCCCTGCTGAAATAAAGTGAATAAACGCAGAAATACGCTCCTGTTTATGAAGAAAGTCAGAACCTCTACAAGACACTAATACTAAATAAAGTAAATGCAAATCGCAACGCAGTTCTGCTCAGGGAAACCGGGGGCTGCCACTTACAGGAAAAAGTGACTATTTTAACCCGGGACAAAAACGCCAAATTACATTGCAGAGACGTTTCCGTCTTCGTGTTAAAGCCATAAGGTGCAAGCAAACAGCCCTGTCAGTGGCACTGCCACAGAACCACTAACCTACCAAACGGGTTTATTCACGCCTAAACAGACTAATATATCTTTTTTATTTTAAATTCCACGGTTTGGCACGGTGACTATAACAGCGGCACTTCCTCCCCGTACGCAGCCAGCAGGCCGGCGGGCTCCGGTTACACCACGAAGCTGAAAGCTTATTAACCTGCGCCGATAAGAGGCGCCCGTATCGGCGATGTGAGTCACAGCAGCCCGGCGAGCAACACGGGCCGCGGCCTACCGTTCACGTACGGTGGCGGCGAGGCGCACTCCCAGCCCCGGCATCGCCCCGAATCGCCCTGGCCCCTCTCCCAGCGACAGTCGCGAAGGAAGCGCCGCCTTCCCGCCGGAGTCTCCCGGACACTCGGACCCTCTCGGTCGTCTTCCCTGGACTTTAACGGCCGTGAGCCGTCAGCCAAACAAACATAAATGGCGAGTTTTCCCGCTCGCTATCCGAAAATGTTTTTCTCGTTCTGACTGACAGAAAAGCAGCCTTCTTCCCGCTACCCCGCCAGAAAGTACACAAAATGGAGTTTACTCCATGCAGCCCTGGCCGGCCCCCGAACACGGCCCCCGGCCGGCCGCCGCCTGCGCTCCGCGAGGGGATGGCGCCTCCTGTCGGCCGCAAATAGCCCCTGCAAGCAGCTCCGCGTGCAATGGGGAAACTGGAGTGCTTCGCCCGCATGTTTTTATGGTTATACGTACCGGTGTAAGGCCGTGGTAAGGGAGGTAAGGCCGTGATAAGGGAGGGCCTGCCCTGACGGCGAGGCCATACAGGCACTAACTGCTAACATGTGTTTTACCCTGTCCTGTCAGTGTCACAACAGATCACCCTGTCAGTCGCTGAGACGTCGAGTGCAGCCGACAAAATTCACTATTTCAGCGATATAAAAAGCGATTCTTTTTAAAGAACGGGTAAAGCTGACGGATGCATTTTTGTAATGAATAAATAGATTAAATACACGTACCTGGTTTGAGTCGTGAGGTATCTACACCATATTCTGCAGTCAGGGTCATCGAAGAGAAATTCAGCGTTGAAGTTCTGTGACTCACGCCCCCCTGTCAGCCCAGATCTGCGCCGCCGGACCGGGGTTCACCCGCAAGGCGAAATCATCCGTCTAAATTATCTATCGTGAATGCATTCGCTTACGAGGTGCCCGGCTCTAGATGAACAAGCTGCCTTCTCTCTGCGTTACACAGCTAGGTTGGACACAGCAGCCTTTTCCAGGCTCCGTGCATGGCTATCAAAATACCGACGGGGGATCTACGGCAGCGCCGCTTCCTCTGCTATGCAACCGAGACATTAACGGTTACAAATAAAACTACACATCCCCTATGTCCATATGAATTTAGTCTACCACTTAAAATATCGGCTACATCCTTTCCCCAAACAGTTCACGCCCCACAGCTCTACAACTCATCTAAAACGAAGCAAAGCGGGGTGCTCAAATAAATGTATGGCTTAAGTACGCTTTATGCGGAGGTTTTTTGCTTTTTGCTTTGCTTGTACTTTCCGTTGACAGTGTCAAGGACACATATCGAACATGTGCAGGACCTGACATGAGCCCTGAGTTGCACAGTAAGGACGCAGGCAGCGCGCAGTCTGCACCGGAGTCGGTGCGTCTTGGTGCCGATCAGCCCCAGCCAGCCGCGGTCAAACCCGAAGCGACACAGCAGGCGCGATCGACCACTTCCCTGAAAAGCAAACTTTTTGTCCAGTTAAACCTCTTTGGCAGCTAAAGTACTGAGGCCGCCTATGGCTTCTGAGTCTTTCAAAGGGAGGAACTGGTGTCGAAAACAGGCTGCGATATTCAAGCTTTAATGACGCAGTATAGGCGGTGTGCAGAGAGGGACACGCAGCATGCTCAGTCGCAAATAACCGCACAAGCCGTCCGGGAAAAGGGCATTAAACTCCACCGAGGCTAAGGCACCGTCCTCGAAGTCGGCCCTCGCTGGCGCGCCCCTGTCAGTCGTCGTCCTGCGATTCAGCGCTGCGCCCAGCCCCACGCAGACGCCATGAGTGCGGAAACAGAGCGCACTTCCAGGGCTGAGATTTCGGCGACGAGCCCGAGCGGCTCATGCGCAGAACGCGCCTGTGCTGATCTCAGGCGGAGGAAATGGGCGGTTTGTGGCTGGGTTATCACGGACGGGCAGCATCGAAGTTTTCTTTTATTCTGGTCTGTAATCGCCTTCAGCTACAAATAAGCTTGACCAAATATATAAAGGTCAGAATGGTTAGGACGAATACAGTGCTTGTTTGATTTGAATTAAAATCATTCATCTATTCGGTTTTGTTGCATTATTTTATTAGCAGTTTGTTAGAACGCACGATTTCCACATACCATAAAATACATAAAGAATTTATATCACTGGTATGAATAATGATAGATGCATTTTAAATAGTAATTGATTAAGTTTCAAAGTTATACAAACTAAGTGTTTTTCCACTAATTCCGAAAGAAAGACTATTTCCCAGCTGAAAAAAATCTTTTCTACCACATAATCTGCATTGGCCTTTCAGACATCAAGGCAATCATTATTCTATGTAACCCTAAAAGCTTTCTGTTTTGTAGCAGGCCTATATAAAACCGAATTGGTTGAGTGATATGAAGAACCCAGGGTAAATCACTAGATTATCCCTGCTTTATACTCATTTCCAGCTTTAAACGTAACTCCAATTAGTTGTTAAAAGCAAATGGTCATGGGGGGAAGAGGTACATGCGAAAGGAGCAGGCGACCTCCTAACACCGGGTCTGACTTATCTGACTGAGGCAGCGATGTGGCGGTCGCAGGGTCTCGCGCACCGGCTCCCCTTTATTATTAAAACAGACGGCTGTGCCAGGGCACCCTGCATGGCATTGTCTGCATCCCCGTGAAGCGCGCTCATGCACCAGCTCGTGGACACATTCCGAACGCCTACCGCACTCTCATGCATTTACACCCCCGTGATGGACACTTCTGCATTAATTTTGTGCTGCTAGTGATTTATTAAGCATCATACATCTTATCAGTCTGGGGAGAGACTCTCACCAACAATAGTGACTATTGTATAGTTAGCTGGCCTCCACTACAGAAGATAGGAGTACAAACGAAGTACTGTAAAAATGCATTTGCATCCGGTTTTTGCATTTCTGATGAGGAGACGATCGTTATGCTTCTTTACGTAGTTGTGCTGGCCATTGAAGCGTCTGTAACTGCCTGAATGACTGTTCGCCCGTAAATTAAGGCGAGCCCGCTGTTGGTTTCGTGAGGGTCCATCTGTTACGGTCAGCTGGAAATCTGATCGCATGTTGTGAATGTAAGATTAGCTTTGTGATTAAGTGTTTCAAATTCCTGAGAGAATACGTTTTTTAATGATCATTATTATTATTTGCATTACATGTTATTAACGGTGTTACGTGAGGCTCAGCAAGGTGCCGTTTCTAGCGAGCCGGTAAACATCCCCCGTAGTAGAGAGAATTGCGTGCCCACATCTGGGTCTGAGCTCGGGAGACATTTACTCTCTTTTTGGGTACTGTGTGGGTTGTAGTGTTCTTTCAGTCACGCCACACTTCCAGTGCTTACAGAAAAGTATAATGTTATCAACAGGGGTGAGGCTAGAAATTCTGGCCCCCCTGACAAAATGTACCCTTGCCCCCCACAATTTTACATATAATTTTGCACATTGAAGGGCCCCTGTGTGCCCCCCCCCCCTCTACCAGGCCATCCATGCCCATAAGCAGAGAGTCCAGCGCAGGCAGGTGACAGGCCCCGTACCAGAGCTGCCCCATGGTCCTCTTCAACACAACATTACCATCAACACCAGTACGATACTGGGCCACATTGAGAGTGTGAACTCTTAGCATGACTGATCGGTTGGCCCCCCCAGCACTGAAAATTTCCTGTAAATGTATCCATTTTGGCTCCAGTCATTACTGGGAGACCAAACTGGTCAGGGTTCGAGCCATGCACCTCATTATTTATCTTTAATTGCATTTCACTTCTTGATGTTTTTTCACCAAAGGTCAGTTCCCTAATTCTCTCCTGCAGTACTGATGAGAATGATCTGCAGAGCCCCAACTCTCCTGCTCACATTCACATAACCAATTGTTAATTATGCCCATATTTCTGGATAAGGCGGGCAAAACAATGGCAGGAAACGCGTATCCTCTTGTTGGACAAAGTGCAGACACGGAATCAGAGAGGAGGCATTTTATATTTTTGTCTGTAAGTAAAAGCTCAAATCCAAAAAGCTAAAGTAATCTGTCTAATCACACGAGGGTATTAATACAGCAGTTGTAAAAAGCCACCAGAGGTTAATTGCCATTAAGGGGTTCAAAAGCATGCAAACTGGCAGTTCATTAGGGAGAGCATGTGTGGTTTTAACAAGTAGCAGTACAGCATGGGGGGGGGGGGGCAGGCGAGTGCTGCTGGCCATGTGGATGTGCTCATCAGCCGCGAGACTGGCCTGTGGACGTCGAGTAGCAGGGGGGGTTTACACAAGGGGGGGGGGCTCCATTCTGCTGGCATTTGCCCCATCTGTTACCACCACAGCCCCCAGATCAGGGGGCATTCAAGGATTCCAGTATTCAAAAGCTTTATTGTCATTTCTATAAGTACAATGAAATGCTTGCGTACCTCCCCTGGAGACTTAAACAACATGTAACGATGAGAAAGAGCGATAATGAAGTAGTGAACAAAAGCATATATACAGTATATACAAGATACAAGCAGGACACAATAAACAATCTATATGCAGAACAAGTAGGACAGCAAGATGCTGAAGTTTACAGTAGCAGTGATTAATAAAGCACAGTGGTGACTGATCGTACTGCAGGTTATCACTGTGTATTCATATTATTGTCTTATTACTACCCAGTCTACTTAGGGTGTCTACTTCTCAAACCATGAGACCCAGGATCCACAATCCACCGTTATAATGTTAACTAAGCCACAGATTGACAGCCGGAGCCAAATTCCCTGCTGTGTGAGGATATTTGGCCAATAAACCTGATTCTGATTGCCGCTACTGGTGCAGAAATATATTATATCAGGTGTCAAGTAAAATAATACTTAATGACGTGGCTTTGAAACTAAAAAAATACTGGTTTAAGGCCCAGAACAGCTCTGCTACTCTTCTGATAAGAATGGTGTTTGAGTATAAGATTAGAACTTAGGAAAGGTGCTGTCGATGAACGCTGAGCCATTTCAGATGCTACTGCGCTGATGCTGTTGGCCCATGGGGGCATAAGGGCTTCTGGGAAGCTCCAGCATCAGAATCACACGCCCACTGCAGTGCTTCTCTGGCGGCTGCCGTTTATTCCATCGTATGAATGAATCATGTTTAATTAGGGCCTGCGTTTGCACACGGGCTCCTGCAGCCAAACTTAGTCACCGACGCCGTGACGCATTTTGAGCGTAGGTTCAATCCAACACAGGAGAAATGTCATCAGTTTCTTGTAACCAAACTGTTACTGCATGAATGTTCATGGGATCTTAAAGGGGCAGGTCACCCCACACACCAAACGCATCACTGCGCAGAAGTACTCTCGCCGGGGTACTCATGCTCGTATCCTCTGCGCAGTGATGTGATTGGTGTGTGGAGTTCTGTAGAAGAAAATAGTTTGTACATTAAACTGCTCACTACAAAGTCTGTGGATTATCTTGAGTAACTGGATTGTGATTTGTGGTAAGAGACATTGCTGTTGAGTTTTTCAAATGTATTTTTCTGGCGCTTTAATCACCACAGAAAGAATGTCATTCAGTCCCATTATAACTGAGAGAAGCCCGACATTTCAGCCGATATCTCCAAAACCAGACAGCCAGCAGAACAACCTTTAAACAGCGCTAAACCCCCTCTAAGACATATCTTCTTATTCAGTTTTGTGGTAAACTCCCTTTTTAAATACAAATTATTATCACTTTAAGGATTTAGTTTTGCGGGGGGATCTTTCCACAAAGGGATAGTGTGTATGCAGGTTTTTGGGATAACCTTTAGGTCAGTTATTCCAACCCAGGAGTGAGAACTCATCAGCCAATCAGTCCTATAATTAGTAATCTAATTAGGGAGTTGCAGTGAAAACCCGCACACACAGCGACCCTTTCTGGATAAGATTGCTCACCCCTGAATTATTTGAATTCTATCATAACCATGCATCCTTTTTCCAGAGCTGGGTTGCAGGGCCTAGGGGGATGAGGCAGGGTGCACCCTAAATGTACCAGCGTGCCAGTCCATCCCTGCACACAGACATATTTAAGCAAACTTACAAACTGTCAGTAAATATCTGCAGCATTAAATGCAGTTGGCTCTTATTTCTATAGTATTTTGTGCTATTTTGTTGATGTTCGATATCAAAACCCTAGTATTATTTTCTACTGTTTGATACTATTTGATATGAAAACACATCATTATTATTTCCTGGGAGAGTGTCCAGCCCCGTAAATGGTTACCGTTGGTGATGGATGAGCCAAGGGAGACACATGCAGCTCTCTGCAGCGTCAGCCTGTAAACAAGCTGAGGATGGATCTGTGCACTAACACCTGCACATTGCCTATTTAAAACCAGGCC